GCGGCCCTGATACGGCTTTCGCCGGACAGGAATCATTAAGAAGTCGTGGCGAAAGCCTGTCACAATACCAGATTTGAACAAATCACCTGGCGATATTCGACTCCGACTCGGGAATATACCAACCGTGATCGATAAAAGGCGGATATCGCCAAAGATGGTGTAATCTTCATAAACAAATGATTATACCAAGATATCGGCGTTTTATGACACGTACTTGGCGAATACCGATAAGTTCACCAAGTTTTATATCAATATCTGGGCCACTGTCATGTTACACCAATACCAAGTTGCTGTAACCGTGCGCACAGAACGGAATAGATCATTTGGGCGAACGAAATTACGGATTACCTCAACCAGTTTCCGCCACATCTCGGTGAAATTCGTTAGGTGTCGATGCCAAAGAGGTGAAATATGGTCCAGAAGCGGTCGTATCCCATGATTGAGCGTGTTGGCGAGAGTTCATTAGGACCCGAAATCACTAAGCTTGGCGAGTTGGTGAAACCTGGTTCTCCGTCATAGCTTCATCTCGTTTCTTCAGCAACTTGTCTCCAACGCCTAATAGCTGTTGATACATACCTTTAGTAGAGACATCTCGTACTCAGCAAGAAGTCCCTGAATACGGCCCTAATAGGGCATTAATACGTTTGGTTACTTGTTCTGATTCTCTTAGAGCTTCCTATGCTCCATATAATACCCAAGTGGCTGTTGCGTACACAATACTCGCTTTCCTGATAGCTGAAGTATACGAGTAGCTTCACTGTAGCTTCCCAGAATTTGGGCCTGAAGATCATCTCCTCTCGTCTTAATACCCAGCAACTTCTCTCTGACCACAGATCGTTATGTGATGAAATAAATGACAAATCCACCGTACCGTCAGGCTGGATAGATCAACGTCAAAATTGCCGCTTCATCACCGTCCTTAACGTTGGGTATTTTCCTGAGGGGATACACCATGGACGCTGTCCTGAAGAATATCGCGAGTGGAATACCACATCTTGAACACTTTTGACATCTTGCTCTTCCTCTATATGGCTCTGCGCGTGTTGCCGTATCGCTTGGCGTTCGGGGTGGTCGATTACCCTCTAAACAAGACCAGTCAACCTAATTTGTAGCTTGCACTCGTTAACCTGGGGTTCCTTGTTACAGTTTAAGCGCACGACGGAGTCGTCAGGTGCATATTCTTATTTCCATTGGGCAGTGAGCCACATGTCCGCTACTACTGCGTCTTCAGAGCCCCGCCAGAGGGCTCCACCGGAGACAAGCCCTGAGGTTGATGTCAGCCCAGTCAAGGCGGCGCCTGTAAAGGATGAAGAGGAGAAGGAGGAGGAAGACGAAACGCCGCCACATGTGGTGCCCTGTCGAGTTACGTGCCGTGCTCCAAAAGTTGAGATCGATCTGCATGCTAGGTAGTTGGGCGAACATACGAGCCGTACATTCTTGGACCATATCTGTATCATGCTTGCTTCGACCTAAGATATTCTTTTACAGCGCATGACCTGCAGTAATTGTTCCTCTTCATTAGTGTATTCCGGAGACAAGGGCCGCTCACCAATTCAGCATCGTCTTGTTCGTACGTTCCTGATGGGACCGTTTTTTTCAACAGTCATTCAGCTTGTGATGGTAATAGTCAGCACATTCATCCCAGAGGAGTGGCGCATCACTCGACTTAGGCGCTGTGACGCTGGACGAGTCGGACGGAGGTTCTATACTACTAGACTGCAATCGAGTAGCAGAAGATCGATTGATCGTGATGTGCGGGAGCTGTTATAATAACGAGAACATTCTCGATGTAATCCCCTCTTCCTACTGCTGCTGTATTGGACGGTTCCGGTTTAGTTACCAGGCTTGGAGTTCCTCATAAAATCCGAGGAAGATGATGGAAGAGTACTCTACAGAGCCACAAGTGATGATATATTCGAACGGAAATTCGGGGCTAAATTGGCAGCTCAGGTGAAAAGGAACAGACAATCTGGTAATAAGAGTAGGATAGGGATTGGTATCATATCACAACGGCTCTCTTATCGAGTGATCAAACAAAATGTCCATAGACCTGTAAAATATGCGATTCTGTGTATGCAAGATAGTTTTTCAAGCATTTGATAGAGGAAAGTCTCCAGTCCGTGGAGCTGTAGTGTGTGGGAGTAGTACTTGTTATTTTCGTAATGGATTTTAGTGGCAATCACAGAGCAGTCTTCACCGACGTCTGCTCGAGTCTGCCTATGTCAGGTCTGCTCACCCAGCTCCCTACCACTTCCGTATCCTCGACCTTCGTCCGACTAACAGACGGTGGCGGCTCAGTCCATTACCCTAGCGTTATTGTAGGAGTCTTCATCTTTGATCAAGGAGGTAGTAATGGGCCTAGCATGTAGCCCTACGAGATTTCGTTTAGCATGGCATTTTGTCCGAGTTGGACAGACCTGCCAAGGCACCAACATGATATCTATGAAGGCCGACATAGCCACGGTGCCTCCTAAGATCACTAAGGACAAGATAGAGTCCTCCGGACTGTCTGTAATACTGGGGGTTTGGTTAGACGCCGCGATGAGATAGTGGAGTGATTATGGGCTAGCCGTATGAGATCCCCTCTGGCTTCACTGGTTTGACAAGGCCAGGAAGGACGTAGTTGCTCGTTT